GGTGAAAGGAGGTTAAAAACGTAAAGTAACAAGTTAATTAATTATTTAAGTCCACTCGTACCGCTGAGCCACTGGGGGAGGGGGTTATAGACGTAAAGTAACAAGTTAATTAATTATTTAAGTCCACTCGTACCGCTGAGCCACTGGGGGAGGGGGTTATAGACGTAAAGTAACAAGTTAATTAATTATTTAAGTCCACTCGTACCGCTGAGCCTTTGGGGGAGGGGGTTATAGACGTAAAGTAACGAGTTAATTAATTATTTAAGTCCCCTCGTACCGCTGAGCCACTGGGGGAGGGGGGTTATAGACGTAAAGTAACAAGTTAATTAATTATTTAAGTCCACTCGTACCGCTGAGCCACTGGGGGAGGGGGTTATAGACGTAAAGTAACGAGTTAATTAATTATTTAAGTCCACTCGTACCGCTGAGCCACTGGGGGAGGGGGTTATAGACGTAAAGTAACGAGTTAATTGATTATTTAAGTCCACTCGTACCGCTGAGCCACTGGGGGAGGGGGGTTATGAACGTAAAGTAACGAGTTAATTAATTATTTAAGTCCACTCGAGATATGCTTTTTAATCAGATCAAATCAGTCGCCAAACACTGAGTCATACATTTTGACAGATATCGTCTATCTGATAGATGGTGATAAAACTAGCACATTTATAAAACGTCGTCGAGTTATCAGGGCTCGTCGAGGCGCGTTAGAACCCAGAAAATATTTCCTGCACTTTAAACTGTGGGTGCGTTAAAAGAGTGAGAGTCAATCTCTTAGTATGAATGGATAATGGGTCGTAGGGTGTTTCTGGCTGACTGCCTTCCGTCTGGTCTGTAGTTCAAAACAGATAGTTTTGGCAGCTTTGCCATAAATAAAAGCCCCCCAATGGCACAGTGGTATGTCTGCGAACTTTCAACGCTAGATACCGGGTTTCGATACCGGTGGTGGGCAGAGCACAGATAGCCCATTGTGTAGCTTTGTGCTTAATTCCAAACAAACGAACGTAAATAAATAAATAAATAAAAAAACAACCAGAACAACAATCTGTCGGATTTCAGCTTTTAGCAATTACAAAAGTTGGTAGTGAACTGAAAATCAGACGTAAAACAATTAATGGGATCTCGTTGTCGTTATTATTACTCATCAATTTTAGTGCAAAGTTACACAATAGGCTATCTGCGCTCTGTCCACTACGGGGAATCAAGCCCTGGATTTTAGCATTGAAAAATCGATGGGATTGGACCCAAGTGGAAACTCTGGTCTTCGCTTCTTTTAGCCTTTAATAAATCGCTTTGTTTCCCGGTGGATCAGCGGTCAGTTCACGGACTTACAACGCTAAAATCCGGGGCTCGATTCCTCGCGGTGAACAGAGCGCAAAGTAACCCATTATATAGCTTTGTGCTAAAAAAACAGATAAACCAATAAAAATGAGCTAAAAACCAATGAAACAGATAATCTGGAATTCATTACGCTTCTTCTATTCAAAATTTAAATTAGTAGACCTGTCAAAGCTAGTGAACTTGTAACGCGACCTTGTGGCTTGTTTCTAGACGATTCGGTTATCAACTAGTTTAAAGTTTGTAAAAACTCTATGCGTTTTTAGCACGTGGCTACGAGCGCGGACTTTGTGTCTATTACTTTTGCCTAAGGCTAGCTAGTTCTACCGTTTTCTTTCTTTTTTTTCACCTCGCATAACCGGTAATCTCACGCCATCTGTAGCTTGAGTGCCTTTACGGTGTGATAATATTAATGCTTTTGATTCAAGTTAAAAATATTCCGAGAATAAAAGACTCTTGATTTAATCCTACATTTTTTTAACGTATCTTATGTTATTGCTTATAAGTTATTAATGAACTGATCTGTTATTTAAAAGAATTAGATCGTGAAACGTAGTAAAATACTACAGAATGTCGTGTTTAAAAACTAAAAGGAAGTTAAAGTATACTAACGGAACGAGCTTTGTTCAATGATATTTTTTATGAAGCAACACACACACATAAAGAAATATGAAACTTCGAATAAGTGCTAGATACAAACCACGATTCCTAACTTTTGGAAGAATTAGACAGCGAATTTTTAAAAGTTTTCGAAGGTGGTTCCGGATATTGCGCAGTGGAAAGGTGGGGCTCATCACGAAGTCTTTAGGCTTCTTCCAAGTGAAGTAGAAAAAAAAAACAACAACTCGTGTTTTAATTAGCTAGCTAGCATATTGAGAAAAGAATCGGATAGGTAGAGAGATATTCAAGCTCACATGTATGATAAACTCAAGCGGCCAGGTATACTGAAATACAGCAGAAATAAAGAGAAATTGATAAGTATTTGAAGAAATGGAAAAGGTATGAATTAAAAAAATGATTTATTCCGGGAAATATTTGGTTTTTCCCTTAGTCGAGAGTGAAACGTGTTCGTCTGTAACTGAAACTGTTGTTATTAAGCGCAAAGCTAAACAAAGGGCTATCTGTGTTTTGCCCACCACGGGTATCAAAACCCGGTTCCTAGCGGTATAAGTCCGCTGACATACCTCTGTGCCACTGAGGGGGGGCATCTGAAACTGATTTGCTTAGGTGTTCAGAACAAAGAAGTTGAGACTCTTGATACAATGTTGAACAACGAAGGATGATGGACATAGGTGTGGCTTTTTAGAATGGCGTAGTTAGTAACGTTATCGGCTCGTGTTTGAACATTAGCCAATCACGTTGAGTGCGGTCACGTGATAGCTGTATTAAGTGGCACGCAGACCGGTATTGGCGAGTTCCCTCCGCGCCTTTACTAGTGAACGGAACGTCTTTCGCCGCCCCGCGCACAATTTTGGTCCTCTTTCAGTAACCACCAAAAGATTATAAGTTCGTTTGAATTCCAGCAGTATGGCCGAAAATAGAGCAACAAAATCCGGTTTTGCAGCAGAAGCCCACGGAAAGGTAAGTGTCCGCCAAGCAGAGACAGTGAGTTTACTCTTAAACCTAAAATGGACTTTTTACTATTTAGCCGGTCATGTATCCATACGCAGAGGCTTAAAACTTTTATACGGAATTGGGTAGCTTATCTCATAAAAGTTGTTATTCGAGCTGTTCATTATGTATATACAAATAACTGTTTCTTAGTAGGGAATATACTATTGTCGGTTAGGGTGATTTCATGGCCACTAATAGTAATAGCAGTACTTAGTTTGGAGTTGATGACTTACAAGCTGAGCTACAACTTACAAGTGTTAATTTCTAGTTCTAGCTAGGTAGTACATGTCGAGCTACAGGTCTTTACTTCTGGCTAGGTAGTACAAACAGAGCTACAGGTCTTTACGAAATGACCCATCCTCTTCAGCATCCCTAGCAAGTTCTTTTGTATGAAAGGCAAAGTTAATTCAAGTAAAATAAATGAATAATTCATGTTAATAGAAACCACAAACCTAATTTTGGCGTGTAATCCTAAGTAGAGTTGATAAAAAGTACAGTAACAGTTATTCAAGAAACTGATGATATAAACATGTTCTCAACCACTATATCTATCGTATCTCTATCTGACCGACGAGTCCGGGTATTATGCGAAAGGCCTCGTCGGCGCAGGATAAAGCAGATATAGTGTGGTTGACACATTGTATCACATTATTTTTTACTTTCACTCATAAGCACGAATAGTGGGATTGATCGTAACATTATAACGCCCCTACGGCTGAAAGGGCGAGCATGTTTAGCGGGACGGGGATTCGAACCCGCGACCCTCAGATTGCGAGTCAAGCGCCCTAACCACTTGGCCATGCCGGGCCCATAAGTACTTGGAATACTCTTCTAACTCGAAGTTTATAAAGATCACCAGGATACATCGAATGTTTTTTCCTAATAATATGTTTCTAGATATTTCTCAGAATTCTTGAAATGGTTATATGAAATATTTAAAGAAATGTTTGTAACCTGACCCCCTCGGATATGATTTAGTAATTGGAAAAATCCTTATCTCAAGTCTGGAAGATTTAGCCATTTGTAGAGTTTTATGATCTTAGCGCCATCTACTGGAATTTATATCAGCCACCTGAACACTTGTTGCATTCTGTGGTTGATTGACATATAGATTATGAAGAACTTTGAAGCTTATTTTTAATTGAACTGTTTGGATAGAAATAGTGTGAAGGTATATTAAGCTAATGAAGATATGATTCAATAAGGATAGTTTAAAACCAACGTGTGATTATTAACAAAAACAGTTACTGGACGTTGTAGTCTAACCACACTAAGCCCAACCCACAATTAGTTCAGCCAATCAGCTAAGAGGAACGTCTTTCCTGTCTCCTGCTGATTAAAGGAGAAGCAACCATACATGGATGTCATTTTGAGTGATCTATCTACACCTACGCAGTTTATTTATATAAACTTCGGGATGGACGTCATCTCAGAACTGACCATACGTGTTGGAAGCTTGCATCACAGATTAAAATAGCACTTTATGTGAACTTTTTTTTATGTTATGCTTTATGATATTTATTGTTTGATATATTTATATATAATTTAGGACTATTAAGTCTTCCCATCTTAGTTCTAATTACAAAGGCCTGCGATGGTTTTATTGTCTTGAACGTTTTACAAGTAATCCACTAAATACTGTACGCTGAATCCGAAAATGATATCCATTTTTCTCCGTCAGGTATAGATTTTTCACAAAACGTCATAACGAAATACATAAAAGAAAGACCACAACACGTAGTTTTGAGACTAAAAGACGTAGATTTCACTAACAAAATCAGGATGAATGAGGATGTATATTCGTTTGACATCAATGTTCTTCCATTTTCTTCAGTTTGTTTGTATTTTTTTTAACAAACATAATAATAAAAAATTTTAATTGTGGTAAACGAAATAATAATTTGATCTAAGTAAGAGTTTTTTTTTCCCTTCCCGATTTGTAAAAAAATCCTTACGTGATAGAAAAAAATTAATATTATTTTCCAAGTCTGCGTAGTTGAATTATGGAAAATCCGTTACTAAAACCAATACGACTTTTATGAAGTTTAACTTCGCAGGCCTGTATTATTAATGTGATTTACTTTTTAAAAATGTGTACGTGTTGAGGGTCTTGGAATTCCGTGACGTAAAAGAACTTGTTCGTGTAACTACCGGTCGACTTTATCCGAGGATGGTAACCTGAAGTCGTTATTTGATGACGATGTCTGATAACCAAACAAGTCGTCGTACATCATCATTATAATGTAGTTTGGTTGAATTACTTCATAGTACTTCAGCCTATTTTTTTGGATGATCTCAGAACCGTTACGCCTCCCTCACCCACCCACGTGGCTCAGTTGTAAGCCTGCAAATTTATTACAGCAAAAAAATCGGATTTCGATACCCGCTGTGGGCTTAGGCTTATCAAACGCAACCCAAACTTTAAGTCGATGGATCAAGTATCAAGCCCCCCAGTGGCACTGCGGTTTGTTTGCAGACTCTCAACGCTAGAAACCGGGTTTCGATACCCGTGGGGGGCATAGCACAGATAGCCCACTGTGTAGCTTTGTGCTTAACTACAAACAGAATTTTACTAGTGGTTAGTGTATCTGACTGTGAATCCTATGATTCGTGGTTAAAAACCTGTCGTCACAAAAAAGTTGGCGGAGGGTGCTGCAGATTAGCTTCCTTCCTTATAGTCTATCAGTTTAAAATTAGGTCATGCGCTGATAATTCTTTTCGTAGCTTTGTGTGAAAATTTTGAGGCAAACAAACATATTTGTTATGATAGAAGTCTCAACCGCTTCAGTGATACTTGCGCCCGGCATCTTTCATACAGAATAAGTATACAACACGAAAATATCTGTATCGTATTTGTTCCGGATTTGAAGCCTACATTTAAATGTTACATATAAAATATAATTGTGACGGCATAATAACAGTAATAAAAAAACAGTGTTTCAATGCTGTGAGTCTCAACAGTTACATAGTTCATTTTGTGTATAATGTAGATTCTGACTCGTTCATCACAACAATTCCGGATCTCACCTGAATAACATTGTTGTTAATGTAGATTCCGACTCGTTTCGTCACAACAATCCCGAGTCATAGTTGAAAGCTGTTGTTTACAAAGTAATTCCTAATGTTTTAATTCTATTATTACCGATAAATTTAAGAGATCTGTACGAAGTTGGTTGGGAAAAAAGGTGAAGAAACTTATTGTGCTTTTTTTGAAGACTTTTTTTCCATTGCTGAATAGTTGTTATAAAGAAGTAAGTTATTAGCCAACATGGATTACATAAAAAATGAAGTAATAGATCTAATCCTGGTGGGGTCCTTCATGTACATTGTAGCTTAATATGAGTTTGGTTTTTTTGAATTTCGCACAAAACTACACGAGGGCTATCTGCTCTAGCCGTCCCTAATTTAGCAGTGCAAGACTAGAGAGAAGGCAGCTAGTCATCACCACCCACCGCCAACTCTTGGGCTACTCTTTTACCAACGAATAGTGGGATTGACCGTTACATTATGACACCCCCACGGCTGAAAGGGCGAGCATGTTTGGTGTGACGGGGATTCGAACCCGCAGATTGCGAGTCGAGTGCCCTAACCACCTGGCCAGCTTAATATGAGATGTGTTTCTTATCGTTGTTGTTGTTTGTTATTAAACACAAAGGGCTATCTGTGCTCTGCCCACACGGGTATCGAAACCCGATTTCTAGCGGTATAAGTCCGCAGACATATTGCTATACTACTAGGGGGGGGGGCGTGTTTCTTAAAGTTATTATACACCAATAACACCTCCTAAAATGCTCCCCTAAATCTAATCATGGCGGGATACTTTTATGTATATTTTGAGATGTGTTTATTAAAGTTAAGAGTATAAACAGTAACCGAAGAAAGTATCCTAAGAGAATAAATCTTTTCAACTTTCTTTCTTTCCGGATATCGTATTTCCTCTTTTCTTCCACTTCCTGCTATGAAGGCTTCCTTTGTAAATGTTTCAACTCATTATGTCCGTTGACGGTCAACTAGAGTGTTGTAGAGAATGAGTTTTTTTTTTATCTTATTCTTGGAAGCAGTGGTACATGAAAAAAATATCCCTAGCAAATGACCTTGATAACTGAGAATGCTCCATTATAACAACAAAAAGGGGGTGAAACTTCAGGTCCTCTACACTTGTGTTTCTACAACAGGCAGTTGCTGTCCATTTAACTAAGTTTCATCATGAATATTCTACCTAAACATTCTATCACAAAAAAAAAGGTGTGTGTGTGTGGGGTGGGGGGGGGGTTGTAAAACTAAATAGTAAGTACTGAAAGTGAGGATCGTTGATCAAAGAAAGCTTGTTACACCTTTGCTTTAAAAACGTAGCAGCGAAGGAAAGAGTTTGAATCTAACAGTTTAACGGATCCAACTGTTAAGTAAGATTAAAGAAATATTGTGGATAATACCAAAGATAACATTAGGATTTATAGAATAGAATGTGAATGTGGTATTATTTATATTATCAAAACCAAAAGAATTTTAAACTACAGATTGCAGGAACATAAAGGGTGCGTAAAAAACAATGAAATAGAAATTTAAGCTGTAACAGAACACACACAAACAACCAACACGAGCTGGAACTACTGTCTTAGCGCAACCTGATAATGTTATAGCTTTGAATATCTGGGAATAACTGGAAATAATAAATTAAAAAAAAGTATTAAGTCGAGAGAAGGGCCAACATATCACTTAACTGATTAAATGGAGGCCATTGACGTATTTAATAAACATTTTTTAATTGTGTAAACATAAAACGATTTATTTTAATCATTTATTTATTTATTTTTCCATTATGTTTAGTTAAAGTTGATATAGTTGTGTTAGACACACATCGTAATATGTTTAGCATATTGCTTTCTTTGTGTATATTTTAGTTAAATAATCAATATTACAGCTATTTATTGTAGGATTCAGATATTTATTTAATTCCTTCTTTATCATTTTGTGTCTTCGTTAACATTAGTTTTTCGTTGAATTCTTGGTAATTTATCTCGGATGCTAGGCCTCTGTCAAGTTACCCTGTAAGAGCCGTTTAATGAGTTTTTTTTGGTCATAAACCGTTTTTACATACAAAGTTTTCCTTATACAATATCGTACAGATGTCACATTAAGTCTACGACAGTACTTAAACATAACAAGTTTTATCATTTAAAATTTTTTATTATTATCATACTTTTATTATAGAGATTGCACCGTATCTTTAACTGATGAAACAATACACTCTGATCTTTATAAAAGTGAGAACTTAAGAAAACAATATATAAATAGTATACACATCATCAGGCTGGTTTTTAGTTTTGATCTAAGACTAAAGTACCTATTAAAATGTAGCTTTTTCACTTTCTTAGACAGTTCAAAATGATCTTTCATTGTGTATTCAACCATTAGCAGAACAGTGTTCCAAAGCTATACGTGGTTATGGACATCTATACGAGAAACTATAGGCCTAATCATGGGCGCCCGCAGGAAGGAGCAAGAGTGGGCACTTACATTTCACAGAAAATTACACGTATTATGAAACTAACTATTCTTAGTACTTTTTATTAACACTGTAAATTTATGTTTGCGTTTAAGCAAATTTAAATATTATTTTAGTATGTTGACTTACACTGTAAAAGCTGATCCCCTACATACATCCTTTGAATCCCCCCTAAAAATATTTCAGTGGGCGCCCATGGGCCTAATTTTACGTCCTTCTGTACTTACATTATAAAACTATAAGCCTTATTGGACGTCCTTCTTTACTTACATTACGAAACTATAAGCCTAACTGGATATTCTTCGTTATGTACTTTAGAAAACTATAAGCCTTATTGGACGTCCTTCTTTACTTACATTATGAAACTATAAACCTAACTGGATATCCTTCGTTTTGTACTTTAGAAAACTATAGGCCTTATTGGACGTCCTTCTTTACTTACATTAGGAAACTATAAACCTAACTGGATATCCTTCGTTATGTACTTTAGAAAACTATAGGCTTTATTGAACGTCTTCTTCACTTACATTATGAAACTATAAGCCTAACTGGATATCCTTCGTTATGCACTTTAGAAAACTATAGGCCTTATTGGACGTCCTTCTTTACTTACATTATGAAACTATAAGCCTAACTGGATATCCTTCTTTCTGTACTTTAGAAAACTATAGACTTTATTGGACGTCCCTTAGAAATTCCATACAAAATACCTGGATTATGTTTAAAAAATTTAATAAACACATCAGTAACTTTGTTTCTTCAGTCTTTGTAGGATCGTTTTCTAACATCCCAAACTTTCTATTGCCATTTAAAATTTTAATTTTATAGTGTTTTTATGTACAGTTATCATTCCATTACTGTAGCATTTTCATTCTGTTCTTCATCGCTATTATTTCCTTTTTATCAGTATTATAGGGTTTATTCCTAAAATTATAATCGATAGATAATAATAATAAAGTTATTCCGCTTATTTGAATTCCAATACTATTTAATTAATTTAATAGCGCTAGTATGTTCTTTTCAATTGCATTCATTAATTATAATTATTAGACTGATTAATAAAAGCATTATATCCTTGACCTTTTTATTTAATCTGTTAAATTTATCTAAATGCTATTATTTACCTTAATCTTAACAGACTAAAACTAGAGCTAACCAAATGTGTTTAATAACAAGATTATTATATCCTTCCAACAGTGGAGGCATTGTTTTCATTCCTGTGTGTAGTATATTAACAAAATAACTCGAAAAATTTACATCTAATTTTGATTACATTTGGAACAAAGGTTGAGTGTTCCCTAAGGACCAGTTATTTAACTTTTGGTGAGTGTAGCTTAAAGATCAACGCCACAACAAAGGGTAACCGCTTTCGTTATAATGGTAGCAAATTGGTATGTTCAAAATCGGTCAAGATTCGAGAAGAAATTGAGATACAAAGATGATCTGGGCATTTTGAGGGTGGTAAATTAATTGTTTGGTGGTCAATAAGAGGGGCGGTTAGTTGCACCCTCTGAGACGTCATTTTGTCACTAAATTTGAAATATATATATATGTATATGCACAAGCCGAATCAATTCTTGAGATCCTTTTCTACCAATCAGGTAGATCTCTAGGACCTTGTGCAATGCCAGTAAAATTGTGGTAATTTCATTTATAAGTTTACCACCAGTTGTAAAAAATCTCATACGAGATGTCGCTTGCATCTGATTGAACAAAACGTTGGCTGTTATTTTTTAAAACATGTAACTGATTTATTAATTAATTAATTATTATTCAAATGATTACTGCTGTTACAAGAAAAGGTTTTAAAACTTATATAATTATCGAAAGTGTAATTGTGAAACTAATTTTATTTAATTATTAATAAAATCTTTTGAGTGAAAGTAAAAACGAGTGTATAATAATTGGTCAACCACATTATATCTGCTACTTTCAATGACGACGAGGCCTTTCGTTCTATACTAGGGCTCTTCAAGTTAGGTGATTAATAGGCGATGTTTTATCTTTTCCGAGTAATAATACAATTTAGAACAGAACATCCCGACAGAAAAGAACCATTTAGTTTATCAAAGCTGTTATTGCACACCCACCCTTCAAAAAAGTAACAATTTAAGCCCACCCTTTATTTCTCAAGCCTTCACTACTGCCGAAATTATAATGAAGGTTCATAATCAAACTTGTATAATTTCAAGAGATCGTAAGACAGGAGCCTCGAACATATTCTAGCTACCAGTAATTTAAATGACATAATCTAAACTTTACTTATTTTTGCAGATAAAGAAAAAATTTGACTCCCAGCTGGCAGGAAGGATGCTGGAATGGGTGAAAGAAGTGACCGGACTGGACATTAATACAAATGGAGAATGGGGCGAGTTTCATAAGACTCTGAAGGACGGTCAAGTGCTATGCAGGTAATAATATTTAGGCCTTTTTCTGTAACCCATATAAGACCCCTAGCTTTCTATATTTTTGGTTTTCAAATCTTTCATTGTGACGATAGGGTCTTCAAAAACATCCTAAACAAATCTTTATTAACTGCAAATTACTAGATCAGTAAAATGAGTCTATTTTTGTTACAGAATAAGGCCTAAGTAAAAACCAATCATTATTGCCTGCATAGAATTTGACTGATGAAAGCTAGGGGGTCTTATATGGGTTACAGAAAAAGGCCTAAATAAAAAACAATCATTATTGCCTGCATAGAATTTGACTGATGAAAGCTAGGGGTCTTATATGGGTTACAGAAAAAGGCCTAAATAAAAAAACAACCATTATTGCCTGCACAGAATTTGACTGATGAAAGCTAGGGGTCTTATATGGGTTACAGAAAAAGGCCTAAATAAAAAAACAACCATTATTGCCTGCCTGCATAGAATTTGACTGAATTAAGTTTGTTTGTTTGTCACGGGGAAGGGGGAGAGAAGTTGGAAAAATTTACAAAATAAGGTTAACTACGCAAATTCTAAAGGAACTTCTGTAAAACCACATTGTTACTGAAATTATACTCTATCGTGCATAGGGGGTCAGGGACTGAACCCGGATTTCAACGTTATAAAACTTAGAATGCCTCTAAAAAATTACAGGATACGATACTTACATAGGAGGACCATGGAAAGCACACAAGAAATTATACAATCAAGGGAAACACTAACCAAAGTCTGTTGAGAAAAACGGCCGATAGATGGCACAATAATCAAATGCTGAATTGAAGTAAACTATATTTCTCGGGGAGATTAAAATGAATCAAACCTTGAATGAGTCCCCTTATTTTGAGGACGAAATTCGCTCCCGAACCCCATCCCTCGTGAGTCAGTGGTAACCTTGAGCGCTAGTAATGGTAAATTTCGGGGATAGATTCCCGCGGAAGCCAAAACACAAACCATTCAATATTTTTTAGAATTTGTTTTGTACTTGTTTCACAGACTCATCAATGCTCTTCAGCCCAACACCATTCCGGAGAAGAAAATAAACAATACTTCCATGGCTTTCAAGCAGATGGAGAATATTAATTATTTTCTAGATGCCGCACAAAAACTTGGCGTGCCTAGTCAAGAATCCTTTCAAACCGTGGATTTGTGGGAACAACAAAACCTTGCTTCTGTTGTCACTTGTCTCGAGTCCCTCGCAAGAAAGGTGAGTGACTTACCTAATCCAGAATATACTGGTCTTTGCTTGGCTTCAAGTGACTTAGCAAATCTTAAGGTTTTGGTGTTTTATATATACTAGTTAAAAGGCCCGTGATTGGTTATTCTATTTCTTTCGCATTACCTAATTCGTAGATCTCCGCAAAAGGTGTGTTGCATAGGATAACACAAAAGAAAAAGGCTTATGACGTTGTTTTATTTTTGGGGTGCAGTTTCGTTTTGTTTGACGTAGCTGAATTCTGTGCGAATTATATATATGCCTTGTGTTTCTTGCGGAACTTTGTTTCCAGGTTCAGGAACTGATGGTCATCATGCAGGAGTTTTGTTAGGATTAAAAGTCAGTTTAGTAGACAAGAACTGACGATCGTCATACAGGAGTTTTGTTAGGATTAAAAGTTAGTTTAGTAGACGAGAACTGACGATCGGCATACAGGAGTTTTGTTAAGATTAAAAGTCAGTTTAGTAGACGAAAACTGACGATCGTTATACAGGAGTTTTGTTAGGATTAAAAGTCAGTTTAGTAGACGAGAACTGACGATCGTCATACATTTATGTTTAGTAAACATAAAACATATAGTAAAACTTTTGTTAATTTTATTCACAAAGTTTCACCTGGTTTACCTGACATCATCATTTTAAAAAAACATAATTATTTCTAATATATCTCTCTCTTATTGCGGATTTTTATACAGGGCTCCAAATTTGGGCAAAAGGCCATAGGACCCAAAGAATCTGAAGGGAATGTCAGAGAATGGACTGAGGAGCAGTTGAAAGCCGGAGACACCGTTATCAGTCTGCAGTATGGCTCTAACAGAGGAGCGAATGCCAGCGGAATTAACTTTGGAAACACGCGACATATGTAGATCCCAAACGAACCAATGAAATATCAATTATCACAATTCTTTCGCAAAGACAAATATATCATTATAAGGATACTTGGGATTTCTATTTTCTCTTGCTTTCGTTTGATTGTTTTTAATAAGCTTAAGATTTTTAAACAACACAACAAAAAATTAAAACAGTTGTGAAAATTGTGCCCAAATTGTTTACGAGCAGTATTGTCTAATATTTGGGCGAGTTGTTGAGAAATAACGAAAACATTTCGTCATTAAATAAATTATTTTCTTATATATATTTTCAGCTTTAAATAAATTGTCACTAGTTATTTTTATTATCTTGTGTTTTTTGTGTTAATTCGATATTTTTAGTGGGTCTGTGTTTATAAGAAAAGTTTCCCTGTGTTATTTTTAGACTATGTGCCATTGTTTAGCTGAGGAGCGACGATTGATCCAAACATAAATAAATATTTTGTATAAATTGGGTTCAAAAATAAATATATTGTACCATAAGTTTTGTAAGATATACCAAGTTCCGTATTTAAGGGACCAAATTAGTAATCTTGTGTTAGGTTTCGATTGCTGCGCCATCTGCTGGTTTAATAAATAAATTCACGATTTACGCCCCCTTCCGTTGATAAATTGCTGTGTCGGTTACTTGTGCTTGTTACCTATTGTAATGTATCTTGTTTTTAATAAACTTTATAAAGCTGAAGATTAATTAGTGAATTGTTTGAATTATTTAATAAATTTTGTAATTTTTGTTTTTCATACATTTATTTTATCTATTTCCGCGTGGTCTGATGATTAAATGATATTTTCACTCAAACGTACACCAGGTATTTCTGCTCGTAGCTGTTTCTAAGATTGCACTAACAGACTAAATGGAAGTCAAGAGCAGTCAACTTTTAGACTAACTTTGATCAAATAGTAGGATTTGAACTTCATTCTTATAGTGTGGCCCAAAAGTGCGCAACGGGGCTCGAACCATTGACTTTCAGATTCACTGTCCGGGCGTGCACGTTAATTACGTGACCACGCTCGGTCGTTGTCCCAGGGGACAAAGAATATTTTATCTGAAACAATGACCAGAGATTAATTATATCAACAACTGCCCTTTCCAATATAAGTGGACAGCGGTAAGTCTTCGGATTTACAACGCTACAATCGGGCGTTTGATTCCTCCTTCGTGGACACAAGGATAGTCCGGTGTGGCTTTGCTATAACAAAACACACACTTATTATGTCCCCCAGTGGCACAGCGGTTTCGATACCCGTGGTGGGCAGAGCATAGATCCCTGTACATAGTTCCCTCAGTTCCATCATGTTTTAGCCCATACTGCATCAAATAAGCCCATATTAACATTGTTCTCATCAGTTTTAATGTTCTCTGCGCTTCCTTTGCTTTCTATCAAAGCGTTCTTCCTATTACATTCCGAGTTGTTCGGAGGTGACTCGCCAGTAAGTATGAGGGCTTATAACGCTAAAATCCGGGATTCGATAACTCATCGTTTAGCTTTATGGTTAACAACAAACGCTACAAGTTTTGTTTTGTACGTAGAATAAATTGAACTATATATATATATATATTTAAAACCTACTAATAATTTCGGTTGATTCAAAAACAAAACTTTTAAAAGTCAAAATATCGCTATTTTCCTTAGGGGGAAAACTTTGATGACCTACACGTCCGGGGGTCACCGAATAAGAATAAAGTTCACCAAAATACATTTTGAATTTATATTATTTGAAGACATCCTACTGATGGTGAAGTCTCCTACGACTGAGGGCTCATTAAGCTATAATTCAGAGCTTAATCCCCATACTAAAACAAAACAAAGCTACGACATTAGTAATGGTGTAAGTCAAAGGGTACGAAATACACAGTGAAGTTTGTTACAAGTAACAAATATTTCCGACTTAAATTTAACCTTTCTAGCTTAACACCTTTTAATTATAAAGTAGAATTTCAAGTAATAATTTTATTTTTTCAAATTCCTCTTACTGGCAAGGTCTAATTTACGTATTCGAGACATCCTGTGAGATTATATATGTATAAGAATTCTCTAAAATAAAATTACGAAGCTGTTGTTAGCATTTAACGTTCGTAAAGGTAGTTCGATATCAAATCGTCAAAATTCTCGTCTTTTCTCATACAGATCTCGTAAAGTCTCGAGTTTTGTTTAGAAATGCTCCAAAGGAAGTTACCGAATTTCAGCACATAGAAAATCGAAATCCAATGAATAGGTCTAAGATATAATCAAAAGATGGAGAACCTTAGTTTTGAATGATTACCGATAAAAATCCAACATGGTTAGATAAAATAATATTTACAAATGTTAAATTATACACGCATATTTATTACTTAAAATGTCTGTATTAAAAACCTGAATTAGCGCCATCTATTTTGGATTTTATAAACTAAAACTAGTTTCTTTTGAAATTTACAGAGAATAAATAGCTTGAAATTGAGGAAGTAATAATGACGCTTCTTACATGATTTTGTTTATTTCTTGTTAATTACAAATCTGCGTAATTATCTACGCGTGCTCTGTCCGTCGCGGGTATCGATACCCGATGTTTATCGTTATAATCTATCAGACTTAACGCTGAGCAACTTGGGGCAGAGGGTGGGGAGTCCTAAACGTATAGAATAAAGGTTTCTGTAATGTAGAAATAAAAATTGAAACGATCTTAACGTAGCCTAATGTTTACTCTTTACATTTACTGAAGCACATCTGACAGTTAAAACTGGTAAATTTTGATCTCATCTGACAGTTAAAACTGGTAAATTTTGATCTCATCTGACAGCTAAAACTGGTAAATGTTTATCTCATCTGACAGTTAAAATTGGTAAATTTTGATCTCACCTGACAGCTAAAACTGGTAAATGTTTATCTCATCTGACAGTTAAAATTGGTAAATTTTGATCTCATCTGACAGCTAAAACTGGTAAATGTTTATCTCATCTGACAGTTAAAATTGGTAAATTTTGATCTCACCTGACAGTTAAAACTGGTAAATTTTGATCTCATCTGACAGTTAAAACTGGTAAATTTTGATCTCATCTGACAGCAGCTAAAACTGGTAAATGTTTATCTCATCTGACAGTTAAAATTGGTAAATTTTGATCTCATCT